CACCCGTCGACGGTAGAATCTATATTTGGAGTACTCGAGTACCCTCTCTTTTATAAGCCACCTCAAAGCGAGTCATCGGGGACGCAGAAACACGCGGATTCTCTCACCGTACGTAATGCTAAACGTGCGACTTTAAGTTACCGCCCGCTTAATACGAAAATCGCACTGCGTAGTGTGTTCGAAATAAAAAGAGAGGAGGAGAGGGGGAAAAAGAGAGAGAGAGAGAGAGAGAGAAAAATCGTAATGAGCGAACAAGTAAAACGAGGTTTATCTTACTTCTTCTCGGGCTCTCGTAATTATCCGTTATGCAATAACGCGGTAATGGTTCGCGTCGTTCTTGACGCCTCCTTTATTCCCGGGTATACCCCGGCCACCGAAGTTCCCAGGCCCGTCTGCGTCGCGTTTCGTATATAATACGCGAAACGAACGTTCGGACGCACGCTATTATTTAAATTAATTACACCTATCCCTATCCGAATTTAATTAAAGGCGCACGAGCTCTTCCGGTGAGACAAAGGGAGTTCTGAGCGCTCGGCGCAATCGTCGCGTTGATTTCCCAAAGCCACGCTCGGGTCGAAATTTAGTGAGACCGTGATAACGCTTTATTTATTTATTTATTTACTTTTTTTCCCCAGAACATCGTCGATGAATTTATTAACAAATTTACCAAGCAACTTTCCAAACTTGTATATCGTGATAAACGACGCTCGATTTTGAAGTGGCTCAATGTCAAAGGCAAAAGTCGAGTGCAAATGTTTCGTCAATTCGCGAGTTCCCAAGGTACAACGCGACAATCGTGATATTTCCGGGAGGCATAGCAGGACTCGAGAATAAGGCGCGTCTTTGACCGTTCGTTGTCACGATTTTGCGCCCGCACGTTTCACGCCCATTTCGCGTCCCATCAGGCACGCGGGAGTACGCGGGAACGGTGGAATTCCACGCTGCGGAATTCGGCGCGGGAGGGAGGGAGGGAGGAGCGAGGAGGAGGTCGGAACGGGCCTCATTCGCGTGCGGGATTAAAATTCGAGTCCCACGGTATATACACGGTAGTCTTGCGTTCTCAGACACGACCGTGTTCGGGTCCTTTCACGTAAGGACGAGGGAGGCGCGTTTAAGCGCTTCGCGGAACCCTTTTTTCGTTCCTCCCCTAGAGCGTGTCACGCACGGCGTATATAGTACGGCCGCGGGTGAACGATGACGCACATCGTCGAATCTTTCGTGAAATAGCGGATCTATGGGAAGAGAGCGTCCGCGACCTTCGAGAGAGATCGCTCTCCCGAGGCGGGCGAAGGACGTGTCTCGCGAGAGGCGATTTCCGAAATCACGCGTCCTTCGCTTCTTTTCCCCTCCAACTCTGAGACCGGTGATCATCGCGCGATTTTTCATTAGGACGGAAACGCGAGCATTTCTACGCTAAGAAAAATGTCCATCGGATAAACCGATTAAATGGCTTAAACCTTCATCGGACGGAGTAAAAGCGCTTGATCGGATGAAATGATGAAATAATCGGACATTGTACTCGATCAGATGTGTTCGCTTGTTACCTTTCAATTAGATTATCCGTTCGGATATTTATCTCGGATATGAATGCTTTCAAATTAGAGGATCTTCACTTTTCACGAGTTCATGCTAGAGGAAAAGATTCACGATCGACTGCCGGAGAATCATGAATCTTACTCATCGCAGTTAGGAAAGCGTCCAGTCATCGGTACTTTTCTTAGTTGGACATGTTCGCTTTTCACATTTTCCTAGGGGGAACAAATTACACGATCGCTGGCGTTAGTCTCGATGGCGAGGAAGATCGACGAACCAGTTTCACTTTGTCCAATTTTCCGCTCGTGAATGCTCGGGAAGGACGATTCGTGCCGGAAGGACGTAACGACAATTTTGCAGGGATCGGAGTCGCGCGGTTTCGATCTCGACGCGCCTTTGCGCATCGAAGCGTGCAGTCGCGCACGAAGCCACACTCTGACGCGAACTTTCGATAGCGCAGGGTACTTTCGCGATACGAGATTTTGTCGCGCGTGCGAGTAGATCGCTCGATGATCGATGAGAGAAAAGGGACGCGCGCAAAGAACGGCGTGGCGGAATCCCCGTGGCGCGTAAAAATCCGGAAATTGCATACACGGACGATGAGCGAGCGAGCGAGCGCGTCTCGCGGGAGGGAAAAACGCGGCGCGGATACCATGAGAAACGGTGTGACATTACATTACACCGGCGCGCCTCATCAAACGATAATCTATGCGATCTATAAGAGAAATAATATACGGCGCGACGTCACAGCTGTCGCCGCCGCGTGAAGTTCGATTGCCGCGAACACAATGAAAAATCGGAAAATTACACTTCGCGACGTAACGGTACGTCAAACATTATTCATTGTCTCCCCCTCCCCCTCTCTCTCTCTCTCTATCTCTTCTTTCTCTATCCATATGGTTTCGATTATCCTCAATCGGCTGTTTGGATACCGTCGACTACGCGCTCGCTCGTTCGTCTCCTCGGCATTTTTCAGGGAAATAAATGTTCATTCATCCTCTATTTTCTACACATCCAATTGATACTCCGTGTCTCACGGCATCGCGTCTCTCTCGTGTACACACGTGTCCGACACACTGCGAAAGATAGAACACGCTTCGAATCGATGTCGATCTGTAGATCGTAGCCGCGTTACATACGTCGTTCCTCTCACTCCGACGACGTGCAGAATACGGAATTTCGAATCCGACGTCCAGAAGTGGAGATACACGGATAACTGTGTTTACTCCTCCAAAAAAAAAAGGGGGGGACGGGATGCTTTACAAATATAGATCGGCGAGATCGAGGCGCTCCATGACGGCGCGACGCGCCGAATCGGTTCTGCCGAAGGAAAGGAAAACTCTCGGGGGCATCTATTGCATATATATAATATATATCTGGCGGCGCGATCGCGCCGGCATTCGTCCGACGTTCTTTATTTGTGCGGTTGGCCCCGGGGCGAAAAATAACGACGTCGTTCCCGCGATCGGAGTGCCGGCGGTCACGAGAGTGTCCGCGCGCGGCGAAGCCTCGGCGAGTGTGTCTCTCATTGCCGGCTGTGTGCGTGCGCGATATATGCGGGTGGCGCGTGCGCGCGCTTGAAGAAATATACACGGGACGCGAAAAGCGTCGCGGCGCTGGGCGTCCTGCGTTACGTCGAGGTCCGCCGGAATGCGTAAATATACAAGCCGCGCGGCGAAGAGAAAGACGGACCGACCGACCGACGGACGGACCCGGGTTTGCGCATTTATAAGAAGCCGTGACTCCACCCGCGAGCGAGATACGTGGACCGTCCGGAACGAAGTCGGAAGCGCGTGTCTCTCGGCAGGATGCGTATCTCATCGTCGGGAGAGAGAGAGAGAGAGAAGGAGTAAGTCTTGGCTGCTCGTCAGCGACAAAGAGAGGAGGTCCTCGCCGGAAGCTTCGACGTTTCGTCATCCGGCGGCGATGAACGGTCGCGCGAACGAACGATGCGTGTGTATCGTTTCTCGGGGGGAAACGCCGCGATTCTTGACGCTCGTCGTCGTCTTGAGTCGTCGCTTCTCCGACTCCGTCGTTCCCGTTATGATTCTCGCCTTACCTTCTCGCCCGTTACGAAAAAGAAGCGGATTCCGGCGAGTCTCCGCGGAGCTCTCTCGGTCCGCTCGCGGGATGAGATTATTCATATCACCGTGCGCGCCGGCGTGTTTTTAGCGAGGCGCGATGACAAATCGCGCTGAGACCCGATCGCAAAAAGTGGGTCGTTAATAGCGGGTACCGGAGAAAGACGGATCGAGTACGTATCCGGCAAGATGCAAGGTTAAATCTTTAGCGCGGTTTAAGTGCAATCTCCCGCCGCTAACAGGCGAAGCAGAACTAATTACCCGCTCCATTAAGCGTCATCAATCAATCCTTTTTATTTATCAGCCGGTTTTTGCGCATACCATTTCACAAAAGTAACGGAACGCGCGAACGGGCATGCGCGGGACCGCCTGACCTTCTGCCGGTTGACAATCTAGGAAGCGTTTTTTCACGCGCGTATAATTACCGGCCGAATGAAAATGTAAGCGCGCTCCTCTCCGTCGGCCACCTTCTTCTTCTTTCGCCGCGTCGGCGATTTACGCGAATCGATTTCGCGCGACGATACCGCGCGCGTTCCTCCGGCCGCCGCGTGACGCGCGCGCGTTTGCGTCATTTCCCCCGCGTAAATTACCAAACGGCCACGTGATCGCGCCATCGGAGTTTACGATCGCGACGGAAGAAGAAGAAGATCATTTGTCTTCACGTCGCGCGATGTTGCATACGCGAAAAGCTTCGCTACGGATTATTCCGTTTCGACGGTAATTCGTCGACGAACGATCGCCGCGCGCGCGCGCGAGTATTCGCTTGGAAGCAGGACGGGAAAGTAAAGAGTAGTCATTTGTAACATCGTTATTATTACGAGTTATTTATTTGTTCTTTTTGTTTCTTTTCTTTTTCAAGTAACGGCGTCACTTTTCTTCCGTCAGTAACTGTGGCGCAGGTGTAACGGTAACGGATATACACCGAAGGGAATTATAGTTATCCCCGATCTCTCAACTATACTCGCTACAGTTTTAATCGCGAAAATAGCACTGTGCACACAAGGTCGTCACTGACGCTGTAATAGCACTTACCAGAAAAGCTCTTCTTCCGACTGCGATTCTTTCATTACGACGATTATGGCATTCGGAATACTACATGGGGGAAAAAAAGGCTCGGTCGAATCGACCAAACAGACCGAGCGCGTTCGAAGTTCTCACAAATGAAACTCGGCTCTCGCGGAAATGCCGTCACGCGTTGAATTTGTTCGTAAGGGTAAATCCGGTAAAATTCTGTTCTCGGTGTAATCTCGTCAGCATCGCACGAGGTATAATTGCGAATGGAAGGGAAACTCGGTGAAGAAAGTAAGGAGAATCGCCGAAGACGACTTTGAGGAAGGTTCCTCCGCGGCAGCTCAGAAGCAATCGTTCTCGCTCTCTTGTTCGCAGGACTCGCAGAACGGCCCGGTGCTGGACCGATGGAGCATCTGCTCGGCTGAGGAGGAGCCGCTGGTTCTGCAGCAGTTCCTCAGATTCGCCGAGACGCGTCCGTTCGTGCAGCAGTTGCTGCTGGCCGCCGGAACGCCGGGTACGGATGCTATGTCACCAAGCAGACGACCTTCGCCGCCGACGATGCCACTAGCACACCTGCCGCCGCCGTTGCACATGCTCCACTGCGGCCTACCACCGCCGGGTTCCCGGTTGCCGCCCCCGTTGCCGCCGCCGCCGCCCCCGCCGTCGGCCTCGCACCCCTCGATGTCGCCGACGGCGCCGAAGCACTACTCCTCGAGCGGCAATCCCGTGAGCGGCAGCCGGGCGAACTCGCCGCCGCGCACCTTGGACTCGCACCTGACGGTGTCGCCGTTGAACCGGCTGCAGAGCATGCAGCCCTTCGACTTCCGGAAGCTGGGCACTCTCGGGCTGCCGGCGTTCCCGCCGTTACCGCCGCCGCCGCCGTCCGCGGAGCAGCTGATGCAGAATCGGAAGTCGATGAGGAACCCGCAGAGTCCGCACAGTCCGCCGCACCACCACTCGTCGCAGCTGCAGAGGCCGCACATGCCGGTCGCGGCGCCGGTCTCCTCGTCGGCGTTAACGGCCTTCGGACACCCCCTGTCGGTCGCGGTATCGTCCAGCGCGCTACCGCCGAGCTTCCCGACGCACTTCCCGCCGCCGCCGTTGGGGAAGTCGCCGATCGCCGGGATCGGCAGCCTGAGCGTGCCCGCGGACGTGCAGAGCGGCGGCGAGAAGAGCAGCGAGTTCGGCTCGGAGGAGGACGAGGACGACGAGGAGAACTCGGACAGCGCGCTGAACCTGAGCAGACGGGACTGCTCGAAGCACGCCGGCGGCATGAGCGAGCGGCATCCGTTGCCGCTGCAAGCGGCGCCGTTGGGCAGGCCGCCCGGCATACCGGGTAGGAAGCCTCACTCCCCGGGTAAGCGGCCCGGCGGCCAGTGGGGCGCCGCGGCGAACATGCCGCCGAACCTCGGCACCCCCTTCATCAACCCGACCACCGGCAAGAAGCGCGTGCAGTGCAACGTGTGCCTGAAGACCTTCTGCGACAAGGGCGCGCTCAAGATCCACTTCAGCGCGGTGCACCTGCGCGAGATGCACCAGTGCACGGTGAAGGGCTGCAGCATGATGTTCAGCTCGCGCAGGTCGCGCAACCGGCACAGCGCGAACCCGAACCCGAAGCTGCACTCGCCGCACCTGCGCCGCAAGATCTCGCCGCACGACGGCCGCTCCTCGATGGCGCACGCGTTGGTGCTGCCGCCGCAGGTAGGACTGCCGGTGCCGGCGACCGGTCTCAATCACCTGCCGTTCGGCTCGTTTCCGTTGCTGACGCCGCCGCCGGACCTCCGCTCGCCGGCCTCGCTCTGCGCCCTCGACTTCAAGCACTTGGACCTCTCGTCCACCCCCGGCCGGCCGTACGACGAGGCGCTGCAGCAGAGGATGAACACCACCACCGCCTCGACGACGATACCGGCGGCGATGTCGACCGCGGCGGCCACCACGACGGCGCGAGCCTCGAGCGGCAGCGCGGTCTCGCCGTCCACCCAGGCGTCCTCCGTGCTCCTGCCGGAGGGCGAGGAGGAGGAGGACGACGATGACGGTGGTATCGTGGTGGTCGCCGAGGACGAGAGCAGCAATCTGCCGTCCAGGTTGCCGTTGCGCAACGACGACGACGAGCAGCCGGCGGACTTCAGCCTGGCGAAACGGCCGAAGCTCTACTTCGGCGACACCGCCGACGAGGATCTCGTCAGCAATCCCGACAGCAACGAGGACAACGACTCGATGGGCGGCACGCTCGATCAGCAGTCCTTCTCCGTGAGCCAGCACTCGCTCAACTCGAGTTCCTTCCACAGCCGGGGCGTGCGCAAGAGGAAGTCCCAGCACCCCACGAGATGCGCCGTGCCGGCCGAGGTGCACTCTTCGTCCACCGACGGCGACTCCTCGAACGACGAGGAGCACCAGCGGATTCAACGCCGGTGTCTGTCGGACGCGATGCCGGACTTCCAGAACCAGCCGGAGGACATGTCGATGTCCAGGCTCGAAGCGGAGGAGCGGAAGATGCTGCCCTCGGGCTCGCCCTCGAGGAATCTCAGGCCCGCCGGCGGCTTTCACGATCGCGAGTCGGACTCGCGCTCCCCGGAGGCCGACAACGCGGAGGATCTCCTACCTCAGGACGAGCCGCGGGACTTGAGCTCGAGGGCGAGCAGCGTGAAATCGCCGAAACGGCAGATCACTCCGGAACCAAAGACCGAGAACGCGCCGACGATTCCGAAGGATTCCGACGTTGTCGCGAGGGAACGGAAAGATCGACGGCAGAGCTCGGAGAGCGAGGGTGGCGAGACGCCGAGGGTGAAGGAAGAGAGGAACGTGAAGAGAGAACCCACCGAGACGACGACGACGACTACGACGACTACGACGACGACGACGACGACGACGACGACGGAGAAGACGAACGAGGAGGAGAACCAGCAGCAGGAGGACGAGGAGGACGACGATGATGAGCCCATGGAGGAGGTCGAGGAGGATGATGATGATGAGGAGGAGGTGGACGACGCGCTGCGCAATCAGGAAGGTGAGCGTCCCGATGATCCCCCCCGTGCCCCGAGCTCGGTCGACAGCCGTCCGACGACAGCCGACGACCTCTCCCACGACTCCTCGACCAACACTTTGCGTCAACTCGAGTCCTTGTCGCAGGGTCGGTGCGCGATGCCGTACGCCGAGACGCAGCGGGTGGCTTCGAGGTCTGGCCGCGGCTCTACCAGCCCTATCAGCCTCACGACCCACCAGGAGACCACCATGGACAACTCCTCACATGGCTCTCGTTCATCCAGCGCCTCACCCTCCACAGCGGCCATGGATACGGACAATAGCCTGATCACGTACGCGCGCTACGAGAACGGCGGCTTCGTCAGCACCCAGGAGGTGCCGCTCGACCGTGAGAACCCGCGTCGCTGCACCGCCTGCGGCAAGGTCTTTCAGAACCACTTCGGCGTCAAGACGCACTACCAGAACGTCCATCTCAAGCTGATGCACCGCTGCAGCGTGGACGGCTGTAACGCGGCCTTCCCGTCGAAACGGTCGCGCGACCGCCACTCGGCGAACCTCAACCTCCACCGGAAGCTCCTGTCGACCTCCTCGAGCCCGCCGCTCTCGTCCAGCCTGCCGCCGCGCATCGACGACCCGCAGATGAGCCCGTTGCTGCACAACGAGTTTCTCGCGAGACTCTACGCGGACACCGGGATGGGCGCGTTGGGCGCGTATCCGTTAGCACCGCCACCCGGCTTGCCGGTCGACCTGGCCGCGAGGATACCGCCGCCTCACCCGCTCCTCCTACCGCCGCACCTCGGCGCCACATTCCCCGGGCTCTCGACGTTCGCTTCTCACTTGGCCGGCTTGAACGGCTTCGCCCATCAGCACCTGAGTCACCTGACGAAACTCACTCAGGAGCAGAGCAGGCCGCCCGTCGCGGGCTCACCCGTCTCTTCACCGGGCTCGGACGACCGCAAGCTGGAGGAGGCTCGCTGCACCGTTCCCGGCTGCGAGCGCGTCTTCGGCTCCAGGGCGGTGCGAGACGCGCACTCCAGGGACCCACAGGCCCACCGCGACCTGCCGATCCTGTCCACCAGCAGCGGCTCGTGACCGATCTCCTCGTTCTGCGGCCGCGGACGCGACTATTATCCCCTACTGTGATGCCAAAATCCTAAACGGCGACTCGGCGCGGCCAACGCTCGGTCGCCGATGATCTCGCGGGCCTCGCGAACGGCGACAAGCTCCGGTCTCTCCCCCCCCCCCCC